GTTCGCGCTCTCCGCCTCGCTCGTCCATCGTCACATTCGCGTTGGTTGCTTCCCTCTTTCTCGCCACGCGGACTTCTCTCGCGCTCGCGGTGTCGTTGCGCTCGCGGTGTCGTTGCGCTCATTTTGAGAGCCTACTGTCCCGATCGAAAATAATGGGAAGAACGAGTAGACAAGTGCGCCACATGACTAGAACACTAGAATTCACGGCGCCTGAGGTCTTGAAAGGCGGGTTTGATAAGGCGACACACGACCTGGAGGGAAATCTCCCGCGGCCAATCCAGTAAGCGCGTGGTACACGGGTAATAACCGGGTGGACGAGTGGAAGAGAACTACACTGCGCTACCTGCCAGTGTCGCATAATGAATCCTCGTAGTATTTAATCTATATTCGTGGTAGCACCAGTCCCAGGCAAAACGATTATCACGCGTCCATAATGTAGCACTGCAGCAGTGTAAGGATCAACCTGTCTTAGGGGTAACACATTCGTGCGCGGAGTCGGCACAACACCCGGAGTAGAAAATCTTGTGCGTAGGACGGGACCTGTAAGAAGTGATGCACCCAACGGACATAGTTCTATCGGCGACCTGTGAGTATTGGTACCCCCTCTCTCGATCCGAAAAGAAAGAAAAGTCGGAGAATCGTCTCAAAACTAGAACGCCTCAAACCGCAGCAAGAATGTGCGAGCACAACGGGACCACGGCGCAATCGTGGATTTGTACATGGCGTTTTCGATTCCTTGCAGTCCGGTACAGTGTCCTTCACACTTGAGGGAAACGTCGAAAGTGATACAGTGCACACGACACAATATGGCCTTCAGGCTAACGCTTCTCGTAGATCCTGTGCACATAAATCATGACTCACCCGAACCCCCATCAAGCCCAATATATCCAGAGCAGAAGGGGGCGGTCGAGGCTTCTGATATATATGAACCTGATAGCGGCCATGGTTTGTATCATAATCCGTCAAAACTTTCATGATTTCATTGACTGTAGCAGTTGCTCCTTTACAGCGGAAATTGCGTCACGGAACGTTACCCCATGAAGATGAGTGGGTCGATGAAGCAACCCGTACCGAAAACGAGTCTTGCCAGCACGTGAGCGAAAGCCCTGGTCATACGGCCCTCCCCAGAACTGGCGATAGCCCAGGCGAGTCTTAGTTGTGCCCTCCGTCAAAGGTGCCTAACATTACACTAGATCATCCAATCTCCATTGGATCCATTAAATCAGACGACTCTCTGCATCCAGTGGAGGTATTGCTTAAACGGTGACGAAGACAGGGACACAGCGTAAGCGTCAGCTCCGATCTGAGTGGTATCAACAAATTCCCCACGGATCGCGACCTGGCGGGCAGTTCGACAGTAGAGAATAAAGAGCCGAAACGCCTGGCGTCTAACACGGACAATCGAGCGTCGTCTTCTGACTATACCAAATCGCCTGATCTGACGTGCATTTCTCCACGCCCGGGCGAGACAGCTATTGTGGAGAGTGATGGTTGTGGATATTTTCAGAGTGAAGTCAACCCAATAGCGTC